TGATGCTGGTGTGTCACTTGTGCAGCAGCCGCAGTTGGCCATAGAAGATCCGGGGAGGAGCCTGGGGGCCACGCCAGCACATGCTGCGGGGGTGGCCAATCCGAAACTGCCTACAGCGCTGGGGCCGGAGGAGGCTACTTTTGACCAGGAGGAGATAAGGGAACAGGCCAATCAGATCGCAGCGGTGGGTGCAGTTAGCTCAGATCCGGAGACCGAGAAAGGGACCCACGCCGATCCCGAGGCGGCAGATAAAGCGTAGGGCGAGGCTTGCCCGGACGTGGCACTGGGGGATCCAATGCCAGCCAATGCAAATGTGCAGGATGGGTCTGAGGACCTGGCGCATCGGGAGGTGGACCGGCATGTGGGGGACGCTGCTGCCCATCCCCACGCTGGAACCAAGGAGGAGACACTATAGCAGGATAGGCCACCGGTGCAGGTTCCCGACCAGACAGCAAATGGGTGGGCCCTAGTGTTGGACGTGTTGCAGCTAGCGACAGCGGGGGAGATGGCATGTCCATCAGGTGGCGCGGCAGACATGGGACCCGCCACACAGGAATATGGGGGAAGGAATATGGAGGCTGATGTGACCACGAGAGAAGCATGCATGCACGAACCGTTGCATGGCGATAATGCATCGGACGCTGGTGCAATTGCATCACAGCACCATGAGGGGAATTTATCTGACAAGGAAGTGGTGGCACTTGGAAACATTAAGGCGTTCTGTGCTGGGTTGCTCAAAAAGCTCGCACCACCGTTGCTCAAGGAGTTCCAAGGGCTGCGAGGGGTTAAAACAGGGCAGGATCCTTTCACTCCACGCCGCGCAACACGGTCCATCTGTGCCGGCAGCTCTAGGAAGACGAAGGCCTTGGTAGCCGAAACGGTGCTTCTTAAAACCCTGGGATTCGACTGTGATGATCTGGCGGTCTCGGAGGACGCGCCAGGTCAGCTACGTACGGTGTTCGACTCACCACTCCAGGAGCCGCAATTGAGGGCCATCGCAGCTATCTTCGAGAAAGTGATACCGCTCAATCTTGCGAAGGAGACAGGGATGGCCGAGCCACTATTGGTGCAGTAGGTGCGTTGGCACCGGCGGTGTTGGAGGCATATTCATCTGATGTCGTTCAACGCTTTGGAGTTGGTGTGCTGGAATGTTAGAGGTCTCAACAATCTTGCCAAAAGGAAGGACCTTAGAGGTTTTGTAGATTCTACTCGCGCGGCGGTCGTCTGTATACTTGAAACCAAATTAGAGGTGGTGGACACTTTTGTAATCTTGCAATGCATGGGGCCAAACTATGATGATTTCACCTACTTACCGGCGTCGGATACTAGAGGCGGTATATTTGTGGCATGGGACACCACGCGGGTTCTCTTGACAAACTATGCCAATGATACTCATAGCATCACTGGGTACATCTCGCCCAAGGAGGGGCGCCATGGTGGCTAACAGTAGTATATGGGCCTCAGGATGATGTGCTCAAGATTAACTTCTTGAACGAACTATCGGACTGTAGATCGCTATGCCCTAGGCCATGGCTTGTCATAGGAGATTTTAACCTCATCCTATACGCGACAGACAAAAATAACTCCAACTTGGACAGGAGAATGATGGGGAAGTTCAAACGTTTCGTCGATGATAACGCGCTAAAGGAGCTCTTCTTGCATGGGCGCAAATACACGTGGAGCAACGAAAGGGAGACGCCCACTCTCACTAAAATAGACCACGCTTTTGTGTCCGTTGATTGGGAGCTCGAGCACCCGGAGTGCTTGCTGCAAGCTTTATCTATAGAGTACTCTGACCATTGCCCGCTGCATCTCGCGCTCCATGAACACATGCATGCCAAAAGGAGGTTCTGCTTTGAAAAGTTATGGGTCAAGATGGATGGGTTTTTGGATGTCATCAAGGAGGCTTGGGTTTGCGATCCAGATATTACTGATCCTTTCATGCGTCTCGACATCATGCTCAGAAACACAGCCCGAGCGCTTGCAACATGGGGACAAAAGGAGATAGGAAATATCAAACTGCAAATCGCTATTGCCAACATTGTCATTCCGCGGTTTGACTGCGCTCAGGAGAGTAGAGCACTGACAGAGGAGGAGAGATGTCTTAGAAGAACCCTAAAACAACTGGTACTAGGGCTTGCATCCCTAGAGAGGACTATAGTGCGGCAGAGGTCGAGAATAACATGGCTACAAGAAGGGGACACAAACACGCAGTTGTTTCACTTGGTAGCGAATGGAAAGGCATATGAAAAACTACATACCTTCCTTGACCATGGATGGGCACATCATCACGGATCACAAGGAGGATGCCTTCTACAAGGCATACAAAGAGCTGCTTGGCAAGGACGGTGCCCGAGACTTCACGCTCGACTTGGAGGGTCTTGGTGTTTTGCGTGTGGACCTCTCGAAGCAGGATCGCGTGTTTTCTGAAGAGGAGATTTGGCCAGTAATCAAGGACTTGCCATCGGATAAGGCGCCTGGGCCGGATGGGTTCATAGGTCTTTTCTTCCAAAAAGCTTGGGAAATAATCAAGGAGGATCTAGTAGCTGCGATACACAAGCTCTTCCTAGGCAATGGAAGGGGAATTGGAAGACTTAACCAGGCTTTGATCACGCTCATTCCAAAGTCACCGGAAGCATGCACTATTTTTGATTTCCGACCTATATGCCTGGTGCACAGTATGCCCAAGATTGCATCCAAGCTACTGACTGCCAGACTAAGACCATGCATGGGAGAGCTTGTTCAGACGAACTAGGCCGCATTCACAAAAGGCAGATGCTTGCATGATAACTTCCTCTTGGTTCGGCAAATGACGCGCACGATGCATCGGAGGAAAGCCAAGGGAGTATTGCTAAAGCTTGACATATCCAAAGCTTTTGACTCTCTAGCGTGGCCGTTCCTGTTCGATGTGTTAAGGGCGAAAGGATTCTCGGAGCGTTGGATTTCTTGGATTGCGACCTTTCTTACCACTGCCAGCTCGAGAATTCTAGCGAATGGATGCGCTGGTGACAAGTTCATGCACGCCAAAGGACTTAGGCAAGGGGACTCGATATCCCCCTTGCTTTTTGTTATGCCATGGACATTCTAACGGCTATCATTAGCAAGGCGCATGAGGCCAGAGTGCTTAGTTCCATCAATGGATGTAGCCCTGTGCAGCGCCTGTCCTTGTACGCTAATGATGTGGTGCTCTTCATAAAACCAACATGGTCTGATCTCATGTTCGTCAAGGAAATTCTCACCATCTTCGGTGTGGCATCAGGGCTCAAAGTCAATTATACCAAATCTGCGGCAATCATGATTAGGGCCGAGAGTGAGGATGAGGAGCTTGTCAAGTCTGCACTGCCATGGAAGATTGACACCTCTCCGTGCAAATACCTTAGGCTACAGCTAAGCATTAGGCAGCTCAAAAGATCCGAGTGGCAGCCGATAGTGGATACAACTCTGCACATTTTGTCAGGATCGCAAAGGGGCCTTGTGACGAGGCCTGGGAGACTCATCCTTGTCAATCAAGTCATGAGAGCGCGAGCCACTCATCACCTCATGATCGCGGAGGCACCAAAATGGGCACTGGAAAGAGTGGACAAAGGTTGCCGTGCATTTTTCTGGGCTGGAACAGAGGCGGTGAATGGGGGCAAATGTGTTGTCTCCTGGACTAGGGTGTGCAGGCCTAAGCACATGGGTGGGCTGGGAGTCATTGACCTATACAAGCACGACATCGCATTAAGACTAAGATGGGAATGGCTCCGACACACGGATGTCACTAGACCTTGGCAAGGGCTCAACTTGACCGTGGACAAAAAGGTGGACCAAGCGTTTGGGAGCCTGGTTAAATGGAAAGTTGGCTTAGGAGGCAAGACCTTGTTCTGAAAAGACCGATGGATACACGGTGCAGCTATCAAAGATATTGCCCCATTACTTGTGGCAAAGGTGCGGACGCAAGTGGCAAACAGGAGACTTGTACGGGACGCGATGGGCATGCATACATGGATGGATGACATTGTAGGAGACCTCTGCTCTAAGGGCCTCGCCCAATTCATTGGACTCTGGGAGATCCTCTTGGAAGTTCAACTAGACGCTCAAGTTGAGGACTGCCTCGTCTGGGCTTGGAACGCGACCAGTGTTTACACAGCTTCTTATGCGTACAAGATGTTGTGTGAGGGAGGAGTTAGATTCCACTCCTTCGGGGCCATCTAGAAGTGTCGGGCACCCCTTGCGTGCAAGATCTTCATGTGGCTGGCTGTGCAATACTGACTGTGGACATCGGATATGAGAGCTAGGCACGGTTTGCAAGATCAAACATCAAAATGCTATTTGTGCGACCAGGAGGAGGACACGGTGGACCATATTTTGTTGCAGTGTGTGTTCTCGCGACAAGTGTGGTTCCGCTGCATCACTAGAATGGGATTGACGGCGGACCTATATCCATCTAACAACTCAAGATTGGTGCAGTGGTGGACGGAAGCTAGGAAAAGAATAGATAAGCAATCTCGGAAAGGCTTTGACACTGTCGTGATGCTAATCTGTTGGACGCTATGGAAGCAAATGAACGCGAGAGTATTTGGCACGGGCATGATCAAGAGCGAGTGGGATACGGTGGACATGATCTTTGATGATCTGAGGACCTGGGCCAGAGCAGGAGCATTCGGAGGTCATCTATTATTAGAGTAGTCAAGTAGAGCTAGGGAGTGGTGTGGAGGTTTGGTTAGGGTCGACTTGTGACACCTAACTAGCACATATGTAATCTCTTGTACATAATTTTCTCTCTTCTATAAAGTTATGATACACTATTGGTGTACCCTCGAAAAAAAGTAGCTGAAGAAAGGCACACTTCAGAAACATCAAACATCATGTTAATTTCACATCGTCAATTTTCACTACGCTACAACCGGGGCAAACACCACTTCTCTACTGATGCTAATCAATAGACCAACAATTCAGTTCTACGATCGAAAGAGAAAACACTACAGCATTCTAGAATTCATCCCCCGCCCCCGGGAAACTCAATCCCAATCTCGTTGCCGGAAGCTCGAGCTGCCGACGGCGATGTCATCCTTGGTGGTGACCGAGCTCTCGAGATGGCTGAATGAGTACCGGTGCCTTGCTGCCCTGGCGTCGCCTGCAATTGGAGGGAAAATGATGTCAGAATTAACAAGGCATAATCAGAGGTGTTCATTATTCATCCAAGAATCAAAAACTCACCGGGCGTCTTCCCAAGAAGCTGGATGTGGGTTGTGTTGCAGACTGGGCAAGCCAGGTTGACGGCGCCCCACGGCTTGATGCACTGCCCATGGAAGACGTGCCCGCAATTCAGCCTTTCTGGTGCCCACCTGCACGGCTCGTTGTCGTACGGGCGGGTACACATCGGACAGACGGTGGCTTGGACTCCGGCTCCCTCGCCGGCGCCGCTGCTTTCGCCCGTGTGGAAGACCGCTGTGTCGGCCGAGAGTCGCCCGGCGCCGCTCTCTCCGATGCGGACGGCTACTGCGTCGGCCGGGAGTCGCCCGGCGCCGCTCTCTCCGATGCGGACGGCCACTGCGTCGGCCGGCAGTCGCCCGGCGCCGCTTTCGTCGATGCGGACGGCCGCTGCGTCGGCCGGGAGTCGCCCGGCGCCGCTTTCGCCGATGCGGACGGCCGCTGTCCCGGCCGGGAGTCGCTCGCGCCGACGGATCGCAGCTGGAGCCCTGGGCTTCTGCTTCCGCCGGCGGATGCAGCAGACAGCCAGGACCAGCAGCCCCACGGCGGCGAGGACCGCCAAGACGATGAGGATGATCCAGCCAGTATCGAGCGACTTGCTCGATCTGCCGGCTGGCTTGTCGGTGGGTTCCGTACGATGTAAGCTGCTGGAATCCATCTTGCATACAGCCGGAGAGGAGGATCAAAGCCGTTATATAGCGCGGCGGAGGGCCGGAGACACAGTACGACGTCGCCATTTCTGGCAGGAGCCGTTTGGCCAAGACGGAGCAGCAACGGGCGGTTCAGAGGAGGAATGCTACGTCCGGGGCATATCTGGATGTATCCGTTGGGGACGGGAAGAGGGATCAGTCGGAGTGGAGAAGCGAAGCGCGACGGAGGTCCGAGCCACTGTACGACGTCGCCATTTCTGGCAGGAGCCGTTAGGCCAAGGCGGAGCGGCGACGCGCGGTTCAGAGGAGGAATGCGACGCCCGGAGCATATGTGGAAGTGTCCGTTGGGGAAGGGGAGAGGGAGGGTGGATTCTCGCGGAGTTCAGGTTACACAGGGCATATGGCCAATTTGATCTCGAGGTAGGAGAAGGGGGGATAGTGAAGCGAATCAATCTTTTTCTCATACGCTGAATGTGGGACCCGGATTTCAATATTTTTCATATCATAAAAGAACAAATGTTTCAAACTGCTGAACAAAAAAGCAAACGAAAAAGCTCCTAGTAGGGAGGGCCTCTAATTCAATAGAGGACATTGGTTTTGGTTTGGATTCTCAATTTTGACTTAGTCAAAGCTCTCTGGTTGAAGAGAGTTGTTTAATTTTAATTTGATTCACAATTTTGATTAAATAATTTCTCAACTCAATCGGCAACAATCAGCTTATAAAAATGTATGCACGCACTCTTATCACCTAATAAAAAATTAAGTAAAAGGTTCAAAATAAACCTTGAATTTATAGGCGAAAGCTAAATCAAACTCTGAACTCTCAATCCCTGAAACCGGCACACCAAACTCTCTAATCCCGGTCTATTTTAAACCTTGAGAGGACTTCGCCGGTGTTTGCTGAATTGGGCCGGCCCAGTAGCGCAGTCGCTCATGCGCACACTAATTTGTTTTTTCTTAGTGTTTTTCTTTTTACATTTTCTTTCTTTTTTTTTTCATTTTTACACATGTGTAATTTTTCTCAGTACCCAATATACATTTTAACGCACACATTAAATATTTGATAAACTTTTGATATTTTCAAATACATTATGGAGATTTTTAAATTAAACGTTTTCAAAACTTTTTTGAGTACATGGTAATATTTTTCCAAATACTTGTTTTACATTTTCTTATTGACAATAAACATTTTATAAAACTACCCGAACACTCTTTTACATGGTTCAACATTTTCAAATTTGCATGCACTTCTTTCGAAACACATGTAACGTATATTCTGTTAAAGGTTATGATACATTTGTTTACAACACATAGACATTTTTTTACATTGTACAAAAAGTGTCCGCACTTTAAAATTTTGTTCAGGTTTCAGAAGAATTTTATGTTTCAAAAAGTGTTTGCACTTTAAAATTTTGTTCAGGCTTAAGAAAATGTTTATGTTTCAAAATGTGTTCTCTGTTTGAAAGTTGTTGGTTTTTTAAAAGTATTCGAAATGTTCAAAAACGCACTTTATAACGTTTGAAGATTTCAGAAATAAATACGTGTTCAATACTTGTTTGCCCCTAAAAAAGTTTTCAAAGTTGGTTTCTAATTAAATATTTCCGGCCTCTTATTATGTAAGTCATAGTTGTCTGTTGTAGTGGCTAGCGAAATCAGGTCAACCCTACCAGGTCCAAAGTTCGACTCCACAGCATGTTTTTCTCTTTCGGATTTATTACTCGCGTGTTAAGAAAAAGAAAGAAGGAATTTTTATGGCGCGTGATAAGAAAAAACACCCACTTTATGTCTGGTGGGCCGGCCCAGTCGAGTCCGCAGCAAACAATCCGAAACATTTTTCAAAAACATTATTTACGAGATAATTTATGAGATTCCAAAAAATATATTCAACAAATGCGACACAATTCTGAAAATCCAAAAGAAAATTCATAAGATGTGAAAAACTGTTGTAATTCTGAACATTCTTTGACAAATGTGATTTTCTTAAATCATGAACAGTTTTTTAAAATGCGAACAAAATTTCAGAATTCCAAATGTCTTTTAGAAAACACAAAATGAATTGAATTCTTGCCAAAAATATAAAAGAGGAACATTTTTTAACTTCTGAACAATTTTAGAAATGTGCGAACATTTTGTAAACTTCATGAATTCTTGTTGTGTTGTAGTGGGCCGACCCAAATTCTGGTCCGTGAAAGTAGCTGGTCATCCCGGCCGGGATTGTTGTATTCCCGGTGTGCCAAACAGGTCTAGGGTCTAAAGTAGACCGGGATTATAAGTTCAGACTGTCAATTTCCGGGATTCAAAGTTTAGACTTTCAAGGTTTATTTTGGACTTTTTCCAAAAATTAATGCCAAGCGTCAATATAATTTTGGATTGAGTTCCAATATTTGACCTGGTACACAATTTTTTATGAAGCTCTCTTATTCAAGTGAGATGTTTAATTTTAAATCCGGTTTATGATTTTGACTGGTGAATGATTTTTCAAATCAATCCAAAACAACTAGCTTATAAAAATATATCAGTCTTGCACCCTCTTGCACCTGGCAAAAAGTAAATGCTAACGTGCGGCATTGTAGATCAATATGGTACATGTGGCCACCACTGCAAAAGAAAATTCCTTGCACATGTGTGGGTTAATTTACAAATAATACATATTTGCACACTACAAAGAGATGACGCTAAAAAGTTCCAGAACTTCTGGGTCCCGGAACTTCCGGGCTGGCCAGAACTTCCGCGACACGAAACTTCCATGGCAAGGGCAGATAGTTTCTGGGCTCCGAGAGAGGGTGCTCACCTGTGCAAACTCTGTGTGTAGCCCGGATCCTGTCCTGGAACTTCCATCTGCATCCGGAACTTCCGGGGCACGTACAAAAATTGCCTCGACGGTTGGATTTGGAGCCCACCTACAAAGAGTCTTCTTCTTCCCAAAGAATGTGACCACTCCATTTCTCTCTCCTGCATTTTCAGACCTTGATTTCTTGTAAATCTCCCTCCTTAGCCAACCAAAGCTCTTGATCTTTTGAGAAGCGAAGGAGAAGTTCGATCTACACCCTCGCCAAAGCAAAAGTTGATTCCCCCTTGTTTTCGTGGTGCATCTCGTTACTCTTGGAGGTTGGAAACTCCTAGGTGGTAGGACTGGTCCGGCGAGGAAGCGTTCATTGTGATTACCCCCCAGAAAGTTTGTGAAGGTTTGGAGTCCACCTCAACGTCTACCACTAGTGGTTGAGAAATGCCTTCATGGTGTTGTCTCAAGGGGATAATAGGGTGAGCCTTCATGGTGTCAGTGTGCCTTCATGGTAACATCCACCTCCCTAATAGTGACTAGCTTCCCTCCAAGGAAGTGAACATCGGCATACATCCTTGTCTCCCGGAGTTGCAGTTATCCCTAAGCCTAACTCTCAATTTGTGGTTATTTGTCTCTAAGCTTTCATTTACCATCTTGTGCTTTCTTAGCTTACTACTTGTTGTTGTAGGGTATATTGCCTTACCCTAGAATCACCTTTTAAATTGTTAGGCTCACTTTCCTATTCCGCTTTATTGCCTAAAATTCTCAAGTAACAATTAAAATTTGTAATTGTACCTATTCATCACCCTTAGCTCCATCTCAATCCTTTCAATTGGTATCAGAGTCTCATGCTCTATTCTTGTGGCTTAACCACCCTAGAGCGAGATGAAGCCGATGGGACCTCCCCTGTTGCAAATCCTAAAGAGAAGGATGCACCTTCCTCGGAAGTGCACAAGTCTTCCAGTTATGAGGATTTGGAATGGACCCTTGCTAAGCAAAAGGAGGAGCATGATGCTTCTATCGAGGCCTTCATCCAAATGAGGTTGGCCGCATTAACTTCAAATCCCACACCACTTATTAATTTGAGTAGTGTGGCTCCGGGGCAAAATGCAACTCTTCCTCCCTTAGGCCAATAACCTCCTAATAGTGATACTTCCGGTGTTTCATGGCCAAGTGTAAAGTAGAGAAACCAAAGTATAATCATGGGGTAAGCCTCCTTTGCTTGATGACACTGCCGATTTTTCTTTGAGGAGAGTTGGGATGTAGGATCATCTTAGGTTCACCAACAATGAGATGTTGGAGATTATGGAGAACGGATACAACCCAGTCAACCCAAAGAATCTCACATCGGGTGAAGCATCTGACAAGCATCTCAATGACACCGCAATTATGCTCATCAGAAGAGGCATGATAGACAACAAAAGAGGCCTTACATTCACATCACAAATGCCAAGGAATTATGGGACAACATTGTGATGACCAAGACCTATACCACCATTGTGTGGCTTGCACAATATGATATTGTCAAAGGGGCATTGCAATATTTTTGTGTAGAGAAGGTGAATCCCCCAAGCATCTTCTTGGGCGTCTCATGACTCTTGCTGTCGACATTGAGTCCTATGATTGTGACAAGACTCAAGATAGATTTAACTTGACCAAGTGATTCCTTGTGGAAAAATTGCTAAATCCTCTTGCTCCTTATCATCATCAAATGGTTTGGGACATAAGGCACCAATA